GTTACTTGCATTCATCGCACCCAAGTTCAATGCACTTTTTTCAGTTTTTGAATTATAACCTCGAAAAAAGATTTCAATATCAAAAATGCAAATACTGTCATCGCAGGTTCAAGCCACCTCACTCCAATCATCTAGTTTTAACACGAATGTCATATACACCGATTTGAAAGGAAACCTTTACCACAATTGCCAATAATTTCGCAATCTGATTGGCCAATTTGCCGTTGTCAATAAGAGTTCAGACGACGCTTCTCACGTTAGCATGTCACGCACTGAGTCACGTACTGAAAGAATCGTTTCATTTAACGTCGATGTTTGATAAAAGACAAATCAGTTGTGGTGTAGCGTGGTCTGTAACCTTATAAACAACGGCAACAACGGTATTCGTCATCACAGTGGTGAAGATTTGTTACATCACTGCGAATGGAATCGGGGAAAGGCAGGCAACGGCCCAATATTTTGGGCAGTTAAGGAGGTATTCTTGTCAACATGGCGATTTTGATAGCTTTTTCCCAAACTAAGTTCAGTTAAGATATAGATTACTTCGTGATACCAAGATCATTGGCCAAACAAAGGTAACTTCAATGCCTATTTAAGTGAGGGCTTTCCCATTCTTTGTATCAAGCGATAGTTCATTTCAGCAAGATCGTAGAAAACGAATCACCGATGACTAATAGCGTATTGATTTCTCAGTTAAGGAAAGGCAGCTTTCTGTCAACGCATGACCTAGTTTTTATCGTAACTAAAATTCAAAGGAGGTTGTGGCAGAGAGCATTAGTGTGCAAGAAAAAAATTTAATAGAAGATAATGACTCCATCTCCCAAGGGCGTGGCCAGGGGGGTCCTGGGGTGCCCGTAACCCCCTTTTGTAGGCCTTTTTTAGAGCAAACAACCTACAATATTCAGGTAGCGAAAACTCCATGACAATATCTTGGCCGTAAAAGCCATTGTTGAAAAGCCCACTTTTAAAATTTGTTTTATTTTTTTGTAAAGTATTTTCTGCAGAAAAACGTGTTCAATGCGTCTTCTTTCGCTTTCAGATAAGATGAAGCCGGCTATTTTAATCACCGTTCTTATCTTGGTTGCAATAGCAGCTATATCAGCAATCCCCACTCCAGGCCGGCGGTTGAATGATGAGCGGCGTCCCATGCACGAGTTTAGCAAGGTAAGTATCATGTTCTCGGTGTTGAATACATTTTCGGTTGTATTTGATACTGAGGATCTGTTTCGGAGATTTTTATCTCTTTTTAAATCTATTTCATTCTTTTCTGTAGGAGAACTTCAGAAACAAACTCATGGATTACATTATGAATCACGAGGTAACAAAATAACTATCTTACTACTGGTCGGTGATAGAAATAAGACCTAGAGCCTGCGGGGGGGGGGGGGGTGTGGGAGAATTTTTGGTTTGTGTGTGTGCAACTGCCGGCTTTTCTGCGTTTATTTTATTTTAAACCAAAACATGGGGGAAAGCGGGCACCCCGTGTTTCTCCCCTAGAACCGCTACTGGAAATGAATGGCGGGATACTTTAAATCATTTTAACGAAAAATTTTGCAAGAATACACTCTTTCTATCTTTCTCTCTCTGTATACAGAAGAGATGCAAGTATGATTATTGCAGCCCTGGTGATAGATGCTGTGGTGGAAGATGGTAAATATACTTGAATTTTGCTTTTTCCTTTACACGCGGTACCTACGCTTTTGCTCCCGATCAGATTTAGTTATGAATAGGACGTGAAACATGTATGTTGGCAAATCGGTATTTTCCTTCTCCCGAAAAAGGATTACTTAGATTAACTAATTGTCTCTTTATTTTTATTATTATTATTATTATTATTATTATTTTCATTTATTTGCTTATTTATTCATTCATTCATCTTTTGTTGTTTTTGTTACTTATTTAGTTTGTCTATCATTGACAAATTTCTGTTAAATTACCTTTAGTGTCTGTCCAATCGGAGCTTCAGCTGGTAGCTGGTGTAATTGTGTACTAAACCGGTCTCGTTCAGGTTCAAACGAGAAATAACTGATCACACATCTCTGCATTGATTGGTCGAGTGTACCATGGCTCTCTCAAGCAGCATGCAAATAAGCGACTTTAAAAGCAGTAGGTCAGCCAAGTTGACGTAAGAGTGAAGGATTTTAGTGAAATTATATTCAGTAGTTCAAGCGCTTTTGTAATCTCAATAAAAACCATTTTGAACAAGTTTGAGCATATTGAGTTGTTCTCCATAACTAACGCATGCTTACATCTCCTCCCATTATCGAAGCGTGTGTCGTTTATTGTCTTTAATGGTAATTGTTCTCCGTCGCTGATATGAACTAAAATTTGAGGATAAAGGCAAGGCGAAGATAGTGCCCTATACTGCTTCTTGCTGACTGATATTTGAAGAGTACTATTTATGTGAAGAATAAGTGTCCGCTTTCTACCACAATCTAAATCATTAACAGATTCCCCCCCCCTCCCCCCCCATTTACCCACTTTGGGTGGAGGAGGGTAAAAGCGATAAAATTGAAGTCATGGGGCTTTGAAAAGGTCAATGTGTCAACAATTGTTTCGCCGATTGTAGATATATCTTCTAAAGGATTATTTAATAAATAAATCAAAACAAAATAAATGACCTAACTTTATATCATATGCCCGATCTTCATTCCGCCGGCAGATCGAGGTGCGAAGACAATTTCAAAATAAGAGATTTTCCACAGACTTTACTTATCATATATCGCAGGATGGTCATGGTAATTGCCTATAACTGAATGCATTTCATTGTTTATCTCGGCTGACCATCAAACAGAGGTCATTTCAATTTTTTTAATCTTGATGAAATTTGGCTGTGATTGCTGTACAAAAGCTATTACATTGTTACAAACTACAATTACAGGGAGATGATATCAAAAAGCTCCACGTTATTCAGCAATAGAGTTTTTAGGAAGTGCATACTTATAAACAAAATGAAATTATTCTTCTCGGCATCCTTTATACCTAGATAGCAAACTAGTAAATGAAAACTAAAGTCAATCACGATTTGGTCGCCGGCGTTTTCCCGCGCTTAAGGCAATTTGGTTGCTTTTACTTTGGTTCCTTATTGTTTCAAAAAGATATTGGCAGTTGTGATTACTTCAGTTCTTGTTCTTAGGACACTCAATCTAAAAGTGCGCAAATCTCCAACAAAGTTAACGACAAGACCTCGGACCATCGTTCAAAGTGATTACATCGCATTGCAGACGTACTTTAACAAAGTAAACCCATCCTAGCCGTATTTAAAGCAGTCACTGGCGACCTTTTTAGAGACTAAAAAGGTAAGATAAAGGTTTTGCAATCTTTCAGCTGGAAATGCCAGCAATTAAATAGAGGGTACGTATTTTTCAACTCAACCTGTTTCCTAAGTATTGTTGTAGATGGGAATCTCCTCATAATTCTTTGCATCGCCCTCCCCATCATTCATATTCTCGTAATAGTCAGGATCATCCAGTCTCTTGATTTCCTGGTAATCACCATCATCAGCTGGTACCTCTTGATAGGGATTTCCTTTATTTGAAAAGTGCAGCTACCAGTGCCTTTGACGATTCTTATCTCTTCATAATTAGCAATGTCCTCCTTAGACCGCGCCTCTTTTAACTCATAGGTCTCTGGTTCGTGGAGTGCAACTCCAGAGCGCAACCCTTTTGAAGTGCGTTCGAGCTTAAACCCCTTCCGTTTCTTGAAGTAGCAAACGAGGTAAATGCCAAGAAGGACAAAAATAACGATCCCACCACAACAAACACCGATAACTAGCGGGTGGGGCAACCCCTTTTTGTCCTCTTTGGCCAATTCTGACTGGTCTAACAATGATAATAACACCAATGTTTCCAAATAAACTAAATTATTCCAATGGTCTATCTCTCACTCTTTCTTCTGGTCGGAGATGGTCACTTATGTCAAGGACATTTAGGGGAGGGAAAGGGAAAGTGAACGGCTCCTGCCATTTTCAGTTTTGGTCTCTTTCTAGCTTTGAAGTAAATTAAAACCACGGTTGAGAACAGAGCACATCTTCGGCCAAACAAACAGTTACTGTGAAGGTGTAGTCTGATCGTCCGGGTGATTGTAGTCCTGGGAAGGACTGTTGTCGGTGGTAGTGACTGACGTTTCGACAACCTGTGCGGAAGTCATCATCAGAGTCAAGAGTCAGAGTCAAGAGTTAAAAGGCACAATTTAGATAATTTTGAGTAATAAGTAAAAGGAAATGTGAAGCAAGATTTATCACGTCATCCATACGAAAAATCGCAGTCTGCACACAGTGTTAACAATGGTTGCTAACAACTGAGATGTGCAGATTGACAAGCAACATAAGCAGCGACGAAAATGCAATATTAAAGCTGCAAAGACAGGAGGGAAAGATAACGGACATCCAACGGATAGCCCCAGCCTAAACCTAATCTTGCCAATTTCACAGCGTTCACCAGTGAACCCAACAATGCACTTGCACGAGAAGTCGTTGATACCATCTACACAGGTCGCCCCATTAGCACAGCTATGTTCAGCACAGTCGTCGATATCTGTGGACAAAGCAAGGCTTTCTATTCTAAATTTAAAACGTTGAATTAATAATTCCAAGTGGGGATCATTTAGGAGTTAGGGAATGAAGAAAGGGGATCATTTTAGGCCCTGGCATATTTCAGTGGCCGTAGTACTGCTGTTGTACTCCCATATGCGCTAATCAGACTAGTGAAACGCCTGGTAACAGTTGAGGGTTTAAAAAGATATAACATAGTTACAGAATTTTATCTACTATGAAATACGCACAATAGATGTGCGTTATTGACCAAGCGTTAAATCAAGATGGCTAGATATTGGCAGAGGTCTTTCTTTGTGCGTGTTTTTATGGACCGAGACCAAGCCTGGGGCCAAAAAAACAGAAAAGAAGAAGGTTCATATTTTGCCATCTTGACCAAACAATCTTGGCTGATAATATTATAGAGAAAAAATAGTTTTCTTTATTAAGGATAAAGAACGATTTTTTTTATTCCGAGAGACAGGTAAGAAAGCCAACTACTTTTACAGCCCAATAAACCCAGGAGAGTCATATGTTTTTTATCGTCGACATTGCCCAAAAATTACGAACTTTCAAAGTACGCCGCTTCTAGTAACTTTTTTTTTTGCGCAGGATCAAGGCGGGCAATCTCGAAAGGCCAAAATGGGCCCATCTTCCTCACTCGTGACGCCAACCAGAACACAAGATTCACTTCAGACTGCCCATGGGGCCTGCCAATAACATAATTAATGACACTATCAAAGCTGAAGGACAGAAATCTTGAGCAAATGGATCAGAGAGAGGCGTCAAGTTGCACACTTTTCCTTAGCAGTTTCACAGCGCTCTCCTGTATACCCTGGTCGATAATTACATGAGAAGCTGTTAACACCATCTAAACAGGATGCACCATTGGCGCATTTGTGGTTCACACACTCGTCAATGTCTTTGGAAATGACGAATGATTAAAACAAAGATAAATAAAGATAGAGAAACGTTTGCAAAAGCAACTGCCAACAGACCACTACTAGTTAAAACGTTAAGTAAATAATCTAATGTTTAAATTCAAGCTTATCCAGCCCCTGAAATGATCCTTGACCTCGTCCAATCTATCAACAATTTTAGAAGTCAACAGCCACAGGCTATGAGGGAGATCTGCGCAACACGCAGTGGAACTGTACTGACAAATAGAGAAGAAAGATAACATCCAACGAGTGCTGTAGCTCCAAACCTAAACTTACAAGTTTCACATTGCTCACCAGTATACCCGGGTAGGCAAAAGCACGAGAAGGTGTTAACACCATCTACACAGGCTGCACCCTTATCACATGTGTGGTTAAAGCAGTCATCAATGTCTGTAAACAAAATACTAATCTGAACGGAGCAATACCTTTTAATAGGAAATGTGGCCAAAAATCGAACATTTTCAAAATATGGTGGCAACAACCAAAAAATCGATTCTGCTCATATTCTCAAGTTAGGTAGGCCTTATGATGAAACAAAGCACTGCATACTTCGTTTGGCTGAATATCGATTCATTTTCGAGAAAATCGACAAAAGCTGAATTTCGTCCAAATGCCGCTTCTGAAGCTCAAAATTTCTGACAAATCTCGGAGCGTCGCACCACGAATTGAGAACACTTGGACCAATAAAAAATACCAAATCTTGAAAAACAACATCAATATATACATATGTCGACAGCAATTTGAGCAATTCTTGATCGTTTATTTGCACAATCTAATTGAATTTAACCGACCTTCTTCTAACAAGATTAATATTAGGTCAAAACTGACCCGTTATTTAACCATGTGCTATACAAAATAATCGATTGAAAATCTGGCTTTTGGAAGGCAAAGTGTGGTTCTTTTCGTTCTCCAAAGGAGTTTTTGGGAAAATGATGCAGTGCGATTTAATCCAATTTTAAAGTTGGATAAAACGAGCTGATTTGACGGTGCCGTCAGTTGTTCGAAAATGTTCACATTCACACACAAACTCAATTGTTTCGCATGTTACATCCAATCTACAGCTTATTTAACATAATATAATCTTACCGTCCATATTGCTGTATCACAAAAGGGGATTGCAGTCCTAACATTGTTGCATTGCTCCCTCAATAGCAATAGAACTTGGCAGGATAGTCAAGACATCCTAATAATGTTGTTTACAAAGCGTATCTCGGGGTTTCTCTATTCCCATTTCGTTGAAATACTTCGCGTAAGAGATCTTTGTTTTGTTATAAGTCTACAACCCAACCGAACCGTGAACCAAATGTAAGTGGAATGTTGCAAGTTCAGAAACATGTTTCTCGCGTGCAGAAAATCGCTAATTAATTCAAAATGAGGTCGACTGAAATAAAACGCAAAAATAAAACATTGGACTATAAAGCACGTGGTTACAGGAATTAAGGTTGTGTGTTACATATACGAAACAGGAGCAAACAATTATCTAACTCCGATCATAATTTAATGTATCATAATTGAATGTTTCATGATACTTCGGGGGATAAAGCTCATTTTAGGACAAAAAAGAGCGAAAGATCTGCAAAGGGCGTAGCCCATCATACATCACTGCAGATGTGCGACAAAGAAAAGTGTAGTGTTTGAACAGTTGTTTATTTAAAGGAAGTTTTTTAAGGGTCGAACCTGGAAAACCGCAACTTTTGCTGAAATGCTTGTAAAAGCCAACGTTCAACAGCTTTA